CAGGAATGAAGCGGGGTACAACTGCACCACTGGACTCCCACTGGATCCCCCGCTGCTTCTATTCCAGACCAGGGGAAAAAATCAGATTTCTTGCTTAAGACACACAACACCATTTGAGGTGACTTGATCTGAGGGGAGAAAGGATGTGTACACCAGAAAATATGGTAATAGCTTGGCCCTGGTTCTCATAAGAAACCCTGCCATAGCAAACCTGGTACTTATGGAGACCGTAACAAACGCCTTTGATCCTCCACTCACAGACTGACCCTCTGGTTTCCCAAGGGACTTTGCTGCTATAGAATAGCCCTCTGGTTTTAAAGGGGACCCTACAAAAACAAACCAGCCCTGGTTTTCCTGGGAAGCTCCATTGTAGTGCCCTGGCTAACTCTCTCACGAGATATCTCCTCTCCTTCCGCTCTATCTCACATGGGCTCAGGCTGGATACAAGTGACGGGGATGGGGCCTGGTGCCCAGCGGGACCAGTCTACCCCAACGATGCTGAGTTCCTGGAAGTTGACCTCCGGCGCCTGCACTTCCTGACGTTAGTGGGCACCCAGGGCCGCCATGCCGGTGGGCACGGCAAGGAGTTTGCCCGGGCCTACCGCCTCCATTACAGTCGCGACCGGCGCCGTTGGCTGACCTGGCGTGACCGCTGGGGCAATGAGGTACCAGAGAGGTGGGGTCACTGTATGGGGCAGGGAGGGGCTGAGTGGGAGGGGCAGGGGAATGGGGCGGGGCAGGTCATGGGAGCTGTGGAAGGGAAAGGAGATTCCATAGGACCAGTGACATAGCAGTTTCTGATGTCACTAGGCCATGAGATATCAAAGCCCCCTGCTGACATCATGATGGCCTTCAAGCCCCCTGAAATGTCATGGCTCCCTGTGATGTTCCAGCTGCTCCTGTGGACATCACAGCCTTTTGACGTCATCATCCACCTACCTGTGACATCACATCCCATGAGCATGCTGCCATCAGCACATGGGCTATGTGTCACTGGCTCTGTGAAGTTGCAGCAAGAGGGAAATTATGTCAGGACAGGCACTGATAATGTCTCAAGCAGGCAACAGTGATGTCAGCTCGGGTGGGCAAGGAGACATTGAGCGTCACATGATGTTGAGCTGTGATGTGATAGATCACAAGGCCATGATGTTATGAGAGTGAGGCAAATATCCTTTTGAGGGGTGGAGCCAGAATGGTGGGCAGGGCACTGCCCTGCAATGCAGTTAACCCCTCACTGCCTGTCCAGGTGATCTCTGGGAACGTTAACACAAATGAGGTGGTGCTGAAGGATCTTGGGCCACCCATCATTGCCCGCTACATCCGCTTCTATCCCCGTGCAGACCGTGTTATGAGCGTCTGCCTGCGTGTGGAACTGTATGGCTGCCTCTGGCGGGGTGAGTGTCCCCTCATACGCCCATCCCCACCTGCTCTTTCCTGTGCATGGGGCTGTATATCCACCTTTGGTGGGGTGAGGAGCTAGAGTGAGGCATCCCCTTCCCCCCTGCTATGCCCCTCAGTCCCCAGCTGGTTCTGGGGTGCTCATTACCTCTCCTCCTCTCTGCCCTACTGCCTCCCATCCTGGGAACTCAGGGGCATTGTTCCCTGTCTCCCCCTGCAGATGGACTGCAGTCCTACACCGCCCCCATGGGACAAGTTATGCCTCTCCAGCCAGAGCCTGTTTATCTCAATGACTCCACCTACGATGGCCTCAGCATCAGCAAGTAAGTGAGTGCTGGCCCCCACTCCCTAGCTCCCACTCAGTGGCCCCATGCTGGCTCCCTTCCTCAACCCCCCATCCCACCCTCCTCTACCCCCTCTACAGTGCCCCATCTCACCACCCTGTTGGTGCCTACTTGACCCAATAAAAAGAAGCTCTGCTAGTGCCATGCTTCTTCACGTCTGCCCCCAACTGTCAGGTAGATGCAGCAATGAATGGATGGGAAAATGGATGGACAGATTGTATGGATGGACAAACAGACCTGAAAATGAACACACAGATAAATGGAAGGGAGATCTGATGCAGGATGGATAAAGAGATAGCTGAAGGGATGGATGGATGGATGGATGGATGTGAAGATCAGTGGACAGATGGCAGACGCTTCTTCTGCTCTATTATGCAGTAGTGAGGCCTTATCTGGAGTCCTGTGCCCAGTTTTGAGCTACACACTTCAAGGGAGTTCTGGAAAGACTGGAAAGAGCCCAGTGAATAGTGGCCAAAATGATTAGAGCCCTGGGGAATGTGACTTACGAGGAAAGGCTGAAAGAATTATGATTATTTAGTCTGGAGAAGAGAAGACTGAGGCGGGATTTTATAACAGACTTCAAAGACGTGAAGGGCAATGACAGAGGATAGAAATGGGATTCTCTTTGTAGCTGTAGGGGACAGGACTAGAAGCTATGGCCTCAAGCTACAGCAGAAGATATAAGATTGAGACGAGGAGGAACTTTCTGACTAAGGGCAGTCATGCAATGGAAGAGGCTGCCAGGAGAGGTTGAGGAATCTACCTCTGTCAGTTTTCAAGAGCACTGAGACACTGGGCGGGAATGGCTCACTCAGGGATGATCCTGCAGCGGGTTGGACTAGATGACCTCACAAGGTCCCGTCCAGCCCTACTTTTCGCTGATCCTATGAATGTATAGTTCCATGTGATCAGGGGTGGACAGATGAGTGGAGAAGGAAATCTTTTGATAAAAGGATGAACAGCTTCATAGATGGACCTTAAGATCTGAGTAAAAGGATACAGAGGGATGCATGCAAAGATGAACTGATAGATGAATGAACAGTCAGATTTGAAGAGGAATAGGTGGAGGGATGAATGGATGGATGGGCAGACCTATGGCTAGATGCATGAATAGGAAGCACCCCTCAGCTTATTTGGTGGGTTCCAGCACCTGTGTTTTTACCCCATCCCAGTGCTTTCCAACTCCTTTCAGTGGTGCTAGAACACAAGTGTCTGAGCCCATCCTCCCCCCCACCCCCCATGTCTGAAAAGCTCCCCAATGTGGTGTCCAAACTGGGTGCTGGTGGCCTCTCTTCATGGTGCTGCCTCTCTCCCCCTTACAGGCTTCAGTTTGGGGGCCTTGGGCAACTGGCAGATGGTGTGGTGGGACTGGATGATTTCACTCGGACCAAGGAGCTGCGGGTCTGGCCAGGCTATGACTACATCGGGTGGAAGAATGACTCCTTCTCTATGGGCTATGTGGAGATGGAGTTTGAGTTTGACTGTCTCCGGACCTTCACCTACATGAAGGTATCAGCATAGGGGGCCCTAGGAATTGCAGGAAAAAAAGGTTAGCTTGATTAGTGAAACATTAAGACCAGTATATAGAAGAAACAGTTGTTAACATCTGTGAAGAACAATGAGCCATTACATCAATTGACTCCCTAGGTGATGCCTGAATACAAATACCACTGCTATTGCTGGGAAGTTGGTTTGAAACTTTGAGTGGAACAGGAATCAAAGTGGGCTATGTCTGTTTTGGCCAAAAGCAATTTCCCTGCTTAAGAAACCCACCCCAGTTTTGTGGGGAAGGTGTGAATGCTGTGTGTGTAAATATGGTAATTGTCCTGTATAGCTCTCTGGGGATAGGGAGTGGTGGTACCAACTTCCCTCTCTCCTTGTTCTGCAGGTCCACTGCAATAACATGCACACGCGGGGCGTGAGCATTTTCCGTCAGGTGGACTGTAGGTTCAAGCAGAACCTTGAAACTGCCTGGGATCCCGAACTGGTGACTCACCTGCTGGCAGTGGATGTCAAGGACCCCAGTGCCCGCTCTGTCACCGTGCCCTTGGAGGGACGCCTGGGGCACTTCCTGCAGTGCCATTTCTACTTCTCCAATGAGTGGATGCTCTTCAGTGAAATTGCTTTCCTCTCAGGTGTGGTCCCTTGGATGCCCTCCCCAGTCTCAACATCCCTTGTCACCATAAAACTACCTGCGTCCACTCCTGTGAAGTGTTGTGTAGCAACTGAGCCCGCAACAACTCACCAAAACTCATTACGTGGCCCTCCAGCTGAAGTAACTGCCCGTCCCTGTTCTATCTTCTTCATGTTCCCGGACTTTCATTGGCTTGAAAAGTTTGTTACTTCATTCATTAATTTATTAGCTCATTGGCTGGAATTTTCATTTGTTCTTTCAGGACGCCTTGGTTTATTAATTCGTTTGTTGTACCTTAGGTTTTGTTTAGTTTTTCTTCTTGTGTTCATTAGCTCTTTTTTCTACCCATTAGTAGTTAAACCAGCTATACATCACCAAGTAAGACAGGCACCTTGTTTTTGGGAAATACAGAAAGAAGCAAAAAAGAATTTTCCAGAGTTATGGCTAAACAGAGCAGGAACAGAGTTTTACCTTTAGCTCACTCATCCTCCATGTCCTGCTCAACCAAACCCTGAAACTGTAGCTGCTGCTGAAAACTGATCTGTGTAGGTGGGTCTGTAGTTTTACAAAGGCCTAGAAACAGTCTGCAGGGCTGTGACAGGAATACAACAGAGACCAAGAGGAGCTAGCAGACAGTAACATTTCAGGAAGAAAGGTTAATTGGATTTGTGGAATATAAGGACCATTACATAGAACAGATGGTTGTGGAGTGAAGAGCAATGAGCCATTACATCAGTTGACCCCCTCATCACTACCTGAATAGAAATGCCATGCTGCTGTTGGGAAGCTGGTTTGAAACTTTGGGTGGAGCAAGAATCAAAAACAATACCCGTCTCCCTGCTTAAAAGAGACCCCCCCCTCCCCCCCAATTTTGAAAGGCTAAATTTTGAGGAAAAGTGTGTGGGGTATGTGAGTAAATATGCTAATTCTCCTATACATTCATTCACTCATTATGGATGGTTGGCTTTTTCATTGGTTGGTTAGTGCAAAAGAGTCTTTTCTTGGTGGTTGCATGATTGGTTGCTCAGTTGTATGGTTAATATGTTTCTTTGGTAGGTTCTTTGAAGGTTTGGACACCTGGGATGTTAGTTTGTTGGTTGGTTGCATGGTTAATATATAGAGTAGATGGTTATTAGTTGGTTGGGTGACTAGATGTGTGATTGGTTTTGGAGTTGGGGTGCTGTATCCTTTGGTGAGTGGTTGGCTGGTTACTTCATTGACTGGCTGGAGGATTGATTGGTCTCTTTCATCAGTTCTTTCTTTTCTTAGTCCTTTGTTCATTAGTTAGGTCATTCATTCATGAGTTAGCTCATTAATAGGTTCATTCATTAGTTCCTTCCATAATGGATTTGTTCATTCTTTGCATATTAAATCTTTTGCCACCTCTTCCATTTGTTATCTCTCTCAGTAGGGAATTAGTTATTTCCTTTGCTCATTAGCTGACTAGCTTGTTCTTTCTCTCTCTGGTTCACGAAGAGGCTCATTAGGTGGTTAATTTGTTATTCCAAGAGATTAGGCATTTAAGTGTCCGTTCACCCACTTCTGCTCTTTCCCCAGAAGTGGTAGAGGACCCATCTCTTACTGGAACAAGCCGTTGGCCCCCAGTGGTCCCTCCTCAACCCTCAGGTAGGGGGGCTGCAGCCTCCTCTGTCCAGGAGGACCTGGGCTCCACATTGCATGGGGAACCAAGACCCACCTCCAACCTCACCCGCCAGGGTAAGTCACAGAATAGGACAGGGCAAGGGAAGAAGTGGACATGGCCTAATTCCCTAATGCCCACTGAGAGGCTGCCTCCAGTTCAGCCCTGTCTCTCTGTCCATTTCAGACCTGGAGGTCCAAGGGAACCCCAAAACTAGCCAGCCAGTTGCAAAGGATGACAACAGCAACACGTCCATCCTGATTGGCTGCTTGGTGGCCATCATCCTGCTCCTACTGGTTGTCATCTTCCTCATCCTCTGGAGGCAATACTGGAAAAAAATCCTGGGAAAAGTAAGTGAGAGGGGATGGCAGAGGGGGAAGAGGCTTTGGGGTGGGAATGGGAGATCCTTGCTGCTGATAGAGGTTCTTGTATATCTTAAGGGGTGAAAGGTGCTGGCATTCCTGGTTTCTCTCTGCTGTGGGAGGGTAGTGCAGTTTTGTGGGCTAGAGAAGGGAGGAGCTGGGAGCAAGATGCCTGGGTTCTCTTCTGGTTCTGGATGGGTTGTTGGAAGCCCATGGGTTAGATGGTGCTGGTGTCAGGACTTCTTGGATCCTTCCCAGCTCTCCTAGGGGTGGACATGACAGTCAGTGCTAGTATGATCTCTCTGGAATCCTCTGCAGGCTCAGCGACGAATCTCTGATGATGACCTGACCGTTCATCTTTCTGTGCCTGGCGACACCATTGTCATCAACAACACAATGGGCTCCCAGCGCCATTCCAGCCGCTATGAACGCATCCAGTCTGGGGAGACTGAGTACCAGGAGCCCAACCGTGCTCGCATGAAGCTGCCTGACCTGCCCCATGGCACTGAGAACTCCGGTGAGTGCACAGGGTAGGGGCCAGATTGTGGAGAGTCACTCAGCTGTGGGTTGGGTTGGGATCTGGGATGTGGTTGGGTGTAATGGTGAGATGATGGGAGGGGAGGTAGCAAAAGAGATGGAGGGATGGACAAGCAAATGGAGACATGTTGCTGGAGAACAGTGGATGGATGGATGGATGGATGGATGGATGGATGAAGGAGGCACGTGGAGAATGAATGGACAAACAGACGGATGGATATAAAGACAGATATACTAATAGGTAAATTAATAGATGAATGAACTCATGGATGGAGTGATGGATGGATAGATGAATGAAAGGGTCGTGGAGGATGGATGGATGGACAATATGATATGTTCTGCAGGTAATGTCATGTAGTTATACTGATAGGCAGACACATGACAAGGAAACAAAGGGATAGATAGGCAAACAGGCAAATGGCTGGACAGATGGAAGCACGGAGTGTCAAATGCATGGATGTATATTGACAGACAAAGAAATAATGGCGGGATGGATAGCTGGATGAAGGGAATGGATGGATGGAGAGAGTATGGTTAGAAGGATGAATGGCTAAGCAAGAAGATGAATAGGCCAGTAGAAAAATGGGTGGGTGGATGGAGAGAAGGAGGAATAAGCAGAGCTGGAGAGAGACAGGAACTGGGGAAAGACATACGGGTAGAAGTGGGGAAAGGGCTTGGGGTAGAAGAAAAGAGGCCAGGATACAGAGTAGAGGGCAAAAGGATGGGAGGGAGAGAGATTAAGGGATACGAGCTGAGGTGGAGAAAAGAAGGGGCAGAGGCAGAGGAAGACAATACCAAGCAGTAAAGTTGGGAAGAAGTGTGGGATGGGCAGGGAGGTGGAAGGTCCCAGCCCGGTCACCCCACCTACTCGGCCACCAGTTGGAGCCCTTCCCCCAACCCGCTGTGTTTGCCCCTCCCCTGCATTCCATCCTGTGTGCTCATCCCACACCAGAGTGAGCAATGCCTTCCTGGTTCTGGGAAGGGGCGGGCTCTGCTTGGTTAGAGTAGTCGGGGTGGTGGGAGCCTGGGCGCCTGGGTTCTGACCTCAGCTCTGGGACGGGAATGGGGTGTGGTGGGTAAGAGCAAGGGGGACGGGATTTGTGAGCCAGGAATCCTGAGTTCTCTTCTCAGTTTAGGGGATTAAGGTCTAGTGGGGGCTGGGGACCAGGATGCCCGGGTTCTCTCCCAGCTCTAGGGGGGTAGTAAGGTCTGATGGATTATGGCAGACAGACCTGGGGGCCAGGACTCCCGAGTTGTCTCTTAGCTCTGGAAGGGGCATAGAGTGTGGTGGGTTACAGCAGGGGGTGAATGGGTTTTGAAGCCCAGACACCTGGGTCCCATCAAACTGAGGAGGGCTTCCCACCATCATCCTTGTGTGTCAGGAACATCCCTGTCCCCCTCTCCCTGTCTCTTGGGTTTTCCAGGGGAGAGACGTGTCCTGCTAGCCCCCCTCCCCGTACCCCGGCCCTCTTGTGTCCGTCTGTCTGTTCTCATCCATCCATTTGTCTGTGGGTTTTGAAGCCCAGACACCTGGGTCCCATCAAACTGAGGAGGGCTTCCCACCATCATCCTTGTGTGTCAGGAACATCCCTGTCCCCCTCTCCCTGTCTCTTGGGTTTTCCAGGGGAGAGACGTGTCCTGCTAGCCCCCCTCCCCGTACCCCGGCCCTCTTGTGTCCGTCTGTCTGTTCTCATCCATCCATTTGTCTGTCCCTTCCCCCTCCCTTCCCACCCCCCACCCTTCTCCCGACAGCTCTGCTGCTCAACAACCCGGCCTATCGGCTCTTCCTGGCCACATACGCCCAGCCAATGGGAGGGCTCGCTCGCCCGCTGTCCGAGGCGGCTAAGCCAATCAACACTGATGGTAAGGAGAGCCCTGCTTGGGATGCAGGGCTGGGCAGCATCTCCTGCCCCCCTCTTGCCCTCCAGGGGGCATCCTCTGCCACTCTGACTTTTCCTGTCTCTTCCAAACTGACCCCGGCTCACAGCTTCCTTCCTGTCTCGCTCCCGTAATGCGTCTTGCTTTGGCTGATGGGCGGGACCAGGGTACGGGATTACCATAGTTCCTCGCATGCCACAGGTCCCATTTCCCCAAGAAATTAGCGTTCCCAAATTGATGTGTACGTCTTAAGTGGGGAAGGTGATTTTCTGCCCAGGATAGCAGCAGTGGCATTTCTATTCAGGCAATGCTAAGGGAATCAATTCACTTTGTGGCTCATTAGCATCCACTTGAATCCTGCTAATTGCTCTTTGTTCCACAGGTGTTAATGATCTGCTCTCCTATTTAATCATTTTCACATTCCATTAATCAAGATAGCCTTTCTTTAAAGAATTTGTAATGCAGCTACTCTCTCTTTGCTTCTTTCACACCCCTGAAAGCTGTTTCTAGCTCTTTTCAAAATCCTAGATCTACCCATGGAGTCTAGTCTTCAGCAGTAGCTAGAGGTTCAGTTTTTGGTTGAGCCTCTATGAGCTACTGATAGTGTAGGCATGAATAAGTTAAAACTATAACTTTTGCCTAAGCAGGAAAGGGAAGGTTATTCCCCAGTTATCTGTCCTGTTATCTTTCCTGCTTGGTGCAGGGAGCTGGACCCAATGATCTTCTGAGCTCCCTTCCCGCCTTACAATCTATGAAGCTAAGGTGAATGAGCTGCCCTATGTGGCCATAACTATTTTTTCCCTTAATTGTCTGCCCCAAAACAAAGTGTGGGTCTTATTTGGTGGGTGTGTGGTAAACAGGAAAATATGGTATATTATGTTAAAATGCAACCCTCTCAGGATGGCTACTGTGTATATAGGGGTCTTTTGCCAGTGCAGAGATGCAGCCATCTCTGGAGTGGGGGCCTCTGTGTATACAGGGATCCCTTCCCTGACTTCAATATGGGGGCGTGGAGGATGTGATGACACTTTATACTGTATTTTCCTGTATACAACATGTGCTGGAATATAATCTGCACCTTGTTTTAGAAAGGTGGAATGACTTGTAGCAAGTAGCCAAGTAGCAACAGCGAGACCTGGGTCTGCTCCTTGTTCTGTTCCCTGCGAATCGCTGCACAGTTTGTATTCACTGTTGCCCAGCAAGTGGCAGAACCTGTTGTTACTATATTCTTTGCATATAATGCACACTCCGATTTCCTACGGCTGGTTTACGGGAGGTGGGGTAAATTTGAATGAGCATGTAACAAATATGTTATTTTCATTTTTGCCCAGTAAGCGGCTGAAACTGTTCTTATCATATGCCTCACATAATGAGCACTTCAGTTTTTTGCTGCTCGTTTTTTGCAGAGAAATGTGTGCAGATGTGTGAAAAATACAGCATTTTCACTTTTGTCCGGTAAATGGCAGAAAATGCTCTTACTGTACGCCTCACATATAATGCATGTTCCAATTTCCTGCTGCTGATTTTTGCGGGGAAAAGTGCATGTATGTCTGAAAAATATGGTATTTTCACTTTTGCCCAGTAAGTTGCAGGAACTACTTTTACCACATACCTAGCATACAATGTCCTCTCCAATTTCCTTAGCAGCTGTGTTTTGAGGGGAAAAGTTTGTGTTGTATGTCAGAAAGTATGGTATTTTCACATTTGCCCTGTAAGTGGCAGAAACTGCTTTTACCATATTTCTTGCTTATAATGCGCCCATTTCCAGCCATTTTTTTGTGGGAACAAAACCATGCAAAATATACAGCATAGAGGGTTCCTTTTTTCTGACATCAAGATGCAGCTAACTCTGGGGTAGAGCAGTCCCCACTAATGTAGTCTCCTTGCCCATCCTGCCAGCCTGCAGCAGCGACTACATGGAACCGGACTCTTCGGGAGCCCTGGCCCCAGTGCCAAACAACGTGCCACACTACGCTGAAGCTGACATCATCAACCTGCAAGGGGTGACAGGAGGGAACACCTATGCCGTGCCAGCTGTGGCTGTGGACGCACTGGCAGCCAAGGATGTGGCCCTGGCTGAGTTCCCCCGCGGCCGCCTCCGCTTCAAGGAGAAACTTGGGGAGGGGCAGTTTGGGGAGGTATGGACTCCCCTCACCCTTCTCCTGCCAGCCCTTCCCTGGTCCCCTCTCTCCTGTCTTTTTCCTTCACATGCTCAGACATTTCTTCATCCATCCAGATCCATTTGCTGTGCTTTCTTTCCTTCATTCTTTTCCTTCCATTTTTGTTCTTTCCTCTTTTCTTTCTCTTTTCTGTTTGTTTAGTTGTTCATTCATTCTTCTGTTTGTGCTCTCCTTTCATTCCTTGGTTGTTCCTTTCTTGTGTTCATTTATTCATTCATTCGTATATTTGTTCTTTCCTTAGCAGGTTTGTTCAGTCATTTGTTCTGTCATTTTCTTTTTTCTTTTTCTTTTCTCTTTTTTCATTCAATATTTTTGTACATTTCCTTCATTAACTCCTTAATTTGCTCTTTCAATCATCCATGTGTTCATTCTCTTATTCCTATGTTCACTGTTTTACTCATTTGTTCATTCATTCTCTTCTTTCATTTTTCCGTTAATTATGTTGTTCATTCCTTCATTCGTTCATTAGTTTGTTCTTTCATTTATAACTTCTTTTGTTCAGTTGTTTGTTCATTCATTATTTTTATGTTCTTCCTTCTATTTATTCACTCCATACTTTCTTTCATTCATTTGTTAGTTCATTCTTTCGTTCTTTCCTTTTTGTTCATTCTTTTGCTCTTTCATTCTTTCATTTCGTTCATTCTTTTTCATTAATCTTTATTCATTTGTTTTCATTCATTTTTGTTCATTCTTTCTTGTATTAATTCACTCCTTAATTTCTTTTTTTTCCTTCACTCACTTGTTCATTCTTTCTTTCCTGTGCTTTTTCATTCATCTATTTTTCTTCATTCATTCATTCATTTTGTTCGTAATTCCATTTATTCACTCTTTAATATGCTTTTTCGTTTATTCATTTGTTTTGCTACTTATTTCATTCCTACATTTTATTCATTTTTTCATTCATTTATTTAGTCACTTTTTCATTCTTTTATTCTTTTTTAACTTGTTTATTTTTTATTCTTTCATTCTTTATTTTTTTCTTTCATTCACTCATCCTTATGTTCACTTGTTCCTTTTTATTCATTACCTTGCTAAGTTTTATCACTCATTCAGTCCCTAATCTGTTCTCTCATTACCTCCTTTATTTACTCTTTTATTCATTCATCCATTTGTTTCTTTTTTATTCTTATGCTCTTTCATTCTTTTCTTTATTATTTTGCACATTCATTCATTGCTTCATTCTCTTTTGTTCATTGCTTCATTCATTCATTCTTTCATAATTTTTTTATTTGTTCTTTCAACATTTTCTTTATTCCTTTGTTTATTCATTTCTTCCTTTTCCTGGTTCCCTCAGCCCTTTATTCCTGTCTACAGTCTAATGTATGTTCCTTTGTGTACCTGGTCTGTTCTTCACTTAGTTCTCAGTTACTTTCTCACTCATATATTTATTATGGTTTTTCATTTCCCCCCTTCATTTATTCATTTATCAATCTTGTTCAGTCCTTCGTTTCACTTCTCATTGTTTTCTCTTTAATTTTTCCTTTTAATTGTTCCTTCTTCCCTTCATCTTTTTAGTGCTTCTCCATTAGTTCTCTCATTCTTTTCTTTCTTTCCATTCCTTCATCTGTACACTCATTTCATGTATCCATTCTTTTTTCTTTCATGTATTCCTACCTTCCCTATGTTCACCTTATATATATTTTTTCTTTTATTAATTTAGGTATTCAATCTTTCATTCAGTTCCTTTTATCTGTCACTTACACACATATATATATATATATGTATGTATGTATGTATGTATGTATGTACATATCAGTGAAAGACCATGTCAATTGAACAATACATAAATGAATTAATACAAGAATAAATACATGTAGAAAGGAAGAATAGATAAATGAAGGAAGGAATAAATGAACAAAAAACCATAAATATATGAATACACAAATGAGATAAGGAATGCATGAATGAAAAAGTAAATGAATACATAAACAAATGAATAAAAGAATAAAAGTAGAGTACCCAGATGACTGAATAAAAGAATACATAATGAACAAATAAATAAATGAATGAATAAAAAATAAATGGCTACACAGATGAATGAAAAGTTAAAAACAACAACTACAAGAACACATCAATAAATGAATGGATGAATAACTGAAGCATAAAGAAGGTGTGAATTAATTACTGCATGAATAAATGAATGAAAACAAGTGATGGAATAAATATATATATATTTTCTGTTATTAATTTATGTATTCTATCTTTCAGTCAGTTACTCTTATCTGCCACTTATTAGCTATTCAGGGTTTTCCTTCTTTTTCATTCATTCTTTTTTCCATTCATTCATTTTTAATCTTCATTTCTAGGCCCATTCATTTTTTCTCTCAGTCATTGTTGCTTCACTTGTTCCTTTGTATTTTCATTCATTCTTTTCTTACCGAGATGATCCATAATTATCATCCTATTTATCATCCTATTTTCATCCTATTTTTTTCATCCTATTTTCACTCTCCTGCTGCTCATCCTTTCAATGACACTTTCATCCTTTGTTCCTCACATTTCTTCTGTCCATTTCTTTGTTCATTTTTTTCATTGATTCTTCCCTGCCCCCTATTCATTTGTTCTCTTTTGCCCCCTTCCTTTGGCTTTTTCATTCATTTTCCCATCACTCTGTCATTCAGGGTTTCTCCTTCCCTGGTTTCTTTCCTTTCATTCATTCTTTTCTATGTTTGTTCTTTCCTTCTGTCTTTCCGTCTCTCCCTCTTTCTTCCACCTTCTGTTAAACCCTGTTCTCTCTTCCTCAGACCAGTATCTCTTCCTCCCATCTCCCTGTGTCTTTCCTGTGATGCCTCTATCTACCCATCTCTCTACTGCCTTCATTCTTTCTTTACTTTTTCCATTCCAGAGTTGACATATTCCCTTCCTCAGACTCTTTTCCCATCTCTCTCCTTCTCTCCTTTCTTTCCCATCCCTCGTCTATCCCAAGGCCAGGGTGGGGGCTACTTTGTTGGCTGAAGAATACAGTGGGAAGGTTGCACTCAGTCTTGGGCACAGGTTGGTCATCTAGGGTGTGGCCAGCCCAGACCTGTGCTAATTGGCCATTGCTTTTTGCTATACTCCCTACCCCAGGTCCACTTGTGCGAGGTGGAGAGTCCCCAGGACCTGCTCAACTTGGAGTTCCCCTTCAATGTGCGCAAAGGACGCCCTCTGCTGGTTGCTGTGAAAATCCTGCGCTCTGATGCCACCAAGAATGCCAGGTAGGTGCTCTAGAGAGCAGAGAGGCATGGCTGGCTCTTGTACGAATCCAGCAAGACCCCATTGCATTAGTGGGGGGTTGGTTGTGCCAACTCACAAGTGAACAGGGCTAACAAAGGAGCTGTGGTAGCCCTGTCAGGATCCTGAATAGTTGTGAACTCACGAGGGAGCTGTGGTGACCCTACCTACCAGGATCTTGAACACTGTCTTGAACTCACGGGGGGAAAGTGATGACCCTACTAGGATCCTGAACACTGTTGTGAACTCACAAGGGAGCCGTGGTGACCATACTGGGATCCTGAGAGTTGAAACTGCCCAAAGAATGCCATGGTGAACTCACGGGGAATACTGGTCTCCACACAAATGTCCCTGCCCTGTTGCACGGGGAAGTGCTTATTCCAACTCAGGCTCTCCAGTTACCAAAAACCCAGTACCATTCAGTTTTTTGAGAGACAAGACTACAACCCTCCTATGATCAGGACTTCTTTGCAAGTTTAGGTGTAGGATTCAGGGACAGTTACAGTTCCCTTACTCATTACCCTTTTTCTACACCAAATCAAGATACACTCACATTCTCCAGTGATCATTCATTTCCTCTTAGCCACTGAGGCATCACTACCAGACAAGTCAGATAAAGAGGCAAGAGAAAGGTCTAGAACCCAACCTTTTATTGATGACTTCCCAAAGTGTAAGAATAAGCACTTGTCTCTGTGCCTGTCTAGCCCTCTGCAACAGCACAATGCAGATTCTCAACTACAGGAGCTGAGGAGATGCAAGAGGGAGAAGGCAGCTGGCATGCAATCTGGCAGCAGGTTGCCTTGAATTTGCTGAGGTCTTCCTAAATACTCCTCCTGTCTATACCCATTATTTACCATATTTACTCAATTCTAAGACAGTGTCCCCCGCCACATGTAACATAGGAGGAAAGCCCCTCGTCTTAGAATTGAATAGGAGCATGGGGGGGGTGAGGGGAGGGGTGGGCAGGCAGCTAATACAGGTTGGTCTCCAACCCCTAATTGGGGTCACGGACACAGCTGCTGCCTACCTCTCTGCCCTCAGCTCATGCAGCCTCTCTTCCCTCGGTACCCTTGTTCCTCACTGGCAGACTCCATCCACACTGGAGCCTGGGGCACTAAGCATGGCCCCAGCTTGCCACATAGCAGTAGTGCACAGTCTGCACAGCTACTACAAGTGGGGCTGGCGCCATGCTCAGTGCTCCAGCCTACTAGAACAGGGATGGAACGTGCCAGTGCGAAACAAGGATGGGGGGGAGGGAGGGGAGAAGAAGCTAGAGGAAAGGGAAGGAGAGGGGAGAGGGAAGGATCAGAGAAGCTAGGGGAGGGGGAGCAGAGGGGGAAGGGGGCAGTCCAGACCATGGAGGGGGCAGTCAGGGGGACAGAGGTGGCAGGGGGACAGGAATAAACGGGGCAAGCTACTTGACCTTTCCATACCACCTGCCTCCCCAAAGCCTGCCCTTTCCTGCAGTGGTGGTGGAGGAATAAATTAAAGATGACCCCTCCAGTAATTAGATTGCATACATGGAAAATTATAACAAATGTATACATTTACCATGTATAGAATTGAATTATTGTAGGGCCATCTTACATTCGGGGTCATCTTAGATTTGAGTAAATACAGTATGCATAGATTATTTAGATAACTATTCTGATTGGTATTATTCAAATTTCTTGTTTCACTGAGACTTTGGGAACTGGACTGAACCAGTTTTCCTGTGGGCCTGGACAATGCCAATTACCTGGGGACCATGTCCTTAAGAAAAGCACCATTCTGGGAAGCTGCTGTTTGCAATTGAACTGCAAGCTTATTGATTAGGGATTATTTATCAGCCTAAGCACATGTCATTCATAATTTAGGTTTCCATTATGTCCATTGTCTGTACTCATCAGAGTGGTTTGTCAGTCTCTGGTCATGTCTATAGCCTACACTCCACTGTGAAGGCACGAGAATGATGTGCTTCTATGGACACAGATAATCTTATGGCACTGGGAGAGTGCAACCAGTGACCTTCCCTCACACAAGAGGGGATGGTGATTTCATGAGGGCGCAAGCTCAGGCAGGTACTGATGATGCACAACCATCACATGAACTAGATCCTTGTGTGCCCAGGGGCTAGCCCCATCTGGATACATGTGACAAGCTCATGCAGCAACTGGGAATCTGCACCGGGCAAGAGTCCTCACAGCCATGGGTTGTTCCTTTGTAAGTGCACATGTTGGGTGCTTGTGGTTTGGCCTCTAGTGAGGGAGTTCCTTGTGTAGTCAGTATTGTGAGTACAAGAGGGAGAGATCCAGGCATCCCAGCTATCCCTCACGTGAGTTCATGATGGTGTCTCTGGTGAAGTCATGTTGGTTCCCTTGTGAATCCACAAGGGGATTCATCACACAGTGATGACTCTTCCTTCCTCTTGTGTGAGCCAGAGGATTACTTATATTTTCATAATGGTTCCCTCATGTATTTACTGATAGAGCTTCTTGTGTTCATTTATGAGTTCACAGAGTCATCATTCTCATATTGAAGCAAGCAAGGGAGACTCTTGTGTGGTCATAAATGTTCCTGGGGCTTTCACGTTGGTATTTCTTGTACAGTCACAACTGAACACATAACAGATTTCTTCAGAGAGACAAACTCATCTACTTTATTATCTCACATATAACATCCCCATGGATATAAGACACAACTTGTCCTTGGTGAATCCATGCTGACTATTAGCCCAGAAGACACACCTAATTTTTCCAAGGCAGGGTGAAGACAAAATGTTTTTCCAGAGCTTTGGCTGCAGAGGGTAGGGACTGAGCCTTATCTTCAGTGGCCTCACCCTCCCTTCCTGCTTAACCACAAACTGAAAGCCTAGCTGCTGCTGAGAATTTGTCTCTAGGATTTTGAAAAGAGATAAAGAGTTGTGGAATAGAAGGAAAGCCCAAGAGGAGCTTGTAGACTGCCAAATTGTTTTAAGAAAGTTTAGCTTGCTTAGTATCACATTCAGACCATTAAAAAGGTAAGATAGCCCAGTGTTAATACCTCTGGAGTGAAGAACAATGGGCCATTAAGTCAATGGACTCCCTCAACTGCCTGAATGGTATTACCAGAGTTAGCCATGGTATGGAAAGAATCAAAGCAAGGGGCTTCTATCCCAGAAAATCAGTTTCCCTGCTTAATGCATGCACCCCACATTTAAGGTGTTGGGGGGTTGCAGATTTTGGAGGGAAATGTGCATGTAGTTTGTGAGAAATTATGGTATTTGCACAAGAAAGAGGTATCCTGGTACAGTCATCCCTATTCACTTGTAAATTTACAGCAGTGTTCCTGGTGCACATTCACAGTTCTTCCATTTGAGTGTACAAGGGGATTCCTCATGGGGTCACAATGGTTCCTCCATGAGCTCACCAACAGAGCTCATTGTGGAGTCAGAGCTACTCATGTGTGAGTTCTCAAAGGCCGTCCATAAGCACTCACAGTTCTTCCAGTTGCATGGGTAAGAGGGATCCTGATATGGTCATCACTATTCTCTCATGAGTTCATGGCATCATTTCCTTGTGAGATCATGAGTAGGGATTCAGGCATTTGCAGTTCTTCCATTTGAGTGCACAAGGGAGGTTCCTCAGGTGGTCACATCGGTTCCCCCGTGAACTCATCAGTGGAACTTGTTGTGCAGTCACAGCTGCTCATTTGTCAGTTCACGAGGGCCATGGGCAACTGGTGCTACCTTAGTCGGGGGGGGGCCCCGCCCCCCCCCCCAGTGACCAGTCAGCAACTGGGGTGGGGGGCATCCCCCCTGCAGCCAATCTCGCCAACTGGGGGGGTGGGGGAGTCCCCCTGTGGCCAAATTTACCAACCAGTGGGCAGCCATGCTGCTCCTGAAAGCGGTCACGGCACTCCCAAAAGTGGCCATGGTACTTCCAGCAGCAGCCACGGCCTACATCCGGCACTCACACTCCCCAGCCAGCGCTCGCAAGGGGGGCACCTGCGTTCCCACCTGCCCTCCCTGCCCGTTGCCTAAGCAGGGAGCATGGAGAGTCAGGGGGCGCACCAGCGCTCTCAGACGGTACAGGTGCACCCCCATACACCCCCTACACATCGCCACTGATGAGGGCTGTCCTTAAGCATTCACTGTCCTACTTGTGTGGGCCTCATGAGTTCAGTCAGGGTGGATGCTGGATGCTCTGTCATGAGTGCATGGGAGCAGTTCCCTCATAAGTGGGGTAGTGGCACTCACAGGCCCTGGCTCCCACCCTCCCCCACCCCAGGAATGATTTCCTAAAAGAAGTGAAGATCATGTCACGGCTGAAGGACCCCAACATCGTGAGGCTGCTGGGCGTGTGTGTGCGGGACGACCCCCTCTGCATGATCACCGAGTACATGGAGAATGGTGACCTCAACCAGTTCCTCAGCGCCCACGAGCTGGAGGCCAAGACAGGGGGCAGTGCCAGCGATGCCCCCACTATCAGGTATTGCTGGGAGCAGGAGCAGGGACCCAGGAGTCCTGGCCCAGCTGGGCTCCTCTACTTAGGTGCTCCAGGGCATTGTGGGAACATACCTAACCACCTCCTGCCCTTCCTTGGCTCAGCTGCCCCACTGCACTGTGGTAATATCCCCAACTTCCTTCTGCCTCCTCCTATACCCAGCTGTCCCAGAGCATTGTGGCGATATCCCTAACCCATTCCCTTCCCTCCTGTGTTCTGCAGCCTCAGGAGATTGTGGGAATA